TCAGTCATCTTTGATTCTTAAATTGTTCGGACGCTACCAGAATGTAAACGCAGCCAGCGTTCAGTGCGCCGACTAATGAAAATGTGACAGCTCTGCCGACGACCACATCTTCCAAAATGGTGAAGCTGGAGGAAGAAATGGTGCAACAGCTTCGCCTGGCGGACTTCCACCCAAATACTCTTGAAGCCCAAGTGGCAAATTTAGAGGAAGAACTGATGCAAAAGCTTCGATTGATTGAGTCTCTGCCAAATTCTCCTGAAGCCCCAAGGGCACAGTTAGAGGAAGAAATGATTCCAAACATTCACTTGGTAGATTTCGTCCCAAGTACCATTGTTTCGCAAGCACCTAGTAATCCAACACACCTTTCAGACCTCTAGTATTATGAGGCACTTTCAGGTAAATCTAAGTTCTTTAACTTTAACCCCTTTGTCTTACTTTGCTAGAACAATTTGTGTCCTCTTTCAGGGCATAACATCACCTTGGATTGCTGAAGGATGGATATCTTTTGTCGTTGCATGAATGCTTCTCTGTACACTCGCGATTATCATCGACGTCTACCCGAGAACTCGGCTGGCGACAACTCATTCCGCGGCATTTACGACATAAAGGCTTCACCAGATTCTTCTTTATCGCGCATGTAGAACTCTTGCAGTTTTCATGCATCCTGTCTAAAATACATTTCTACAATTATCAAACCAACAATTTTGTCATTGGTTTGGTAGCGTTGACTTGCTAATAGAATAAATTATTTTATAAGTAACATAGTGCATTCTAAGCAAATACGTAGCCTTGTGGCGCCTGGCATCCTGACAATATCGTTAAGTAAATTCCACTGAAGCCGTCATCTCGTCTTTGTCTCATGTCAATATCTACCATAACGTTATGGACGATACGAATAAAATACCTATCAATATTAAGCAGCTTTTTTCCCTATTTAAACATCACAGCAGAAGATTAGTCATCAGCAAGGCCTCATAAGTCTTCATTGTGCAATTTTTGCATGGTATGCCACCGTGCATAAAAATGGCTGGGACAAGGGCATATCACGTTCATGAGAACACCACAGCCGCCCCCACCCACACCCACCCACTCAGCCAGACGGTCTGACTCATACACTGTCCACTTCGTGGTACGTTGCTTTTGACGCATCAATTGCAAACGGTGTCGAGGCTTTGCACTGATAAGACCAGCGGTGCAGCCTCAGCCACCGCAGTCGATGCACTCCACCCCCAACCACCCACCCACCCAGCCAGCCAGCCAGCCAGGCCCAATGCACAGCCCCCCTTCAGGGTGAGTTGTTTTCGATAATTCGATCGCCGTCGGCCCCTACCCGCAGCCTGCCAGCCGCCAACTCGACATAAACGAAGGTCACGTGAACTATTTTAGGTATTTTTTCACAAAGATTTTTCAAGGTCGACTTATTTTGCGCAATTAATTTTAAGCTACTTTTTAGCGCTTTTTGGCTCACCTTAACACCTATTCGAACGCGCCTTGATTCCAACTGGAGCAAGTCTTGTTTGCCAGCAAAGTAAGTGTACTCTAGGCACACTGTTTGCCAATTTAGAGCCCCTAGTCCTTCGTCGTCCACTTCAAGTCGATCTCACCTGCCGCGTTGGTCATCAATGCCTCCA